AGGATAATGATCTGTCTTCAGCTGCAGTTTCTAGATAGCCTCTTCAGTCACTACATTATCACAACTGCCACTATCAATGATTAACTTGTATGCTTTATCGGTAACTATACGAGTTGTGTGGAAAAAATTGGTTCTCAACCAATTATCCCCTAAATTGCCCTTGGGAGTCAGCAAACTCTTGCGAACGACTAGAATCTCCTGGCCATCTCCATATAGCACATCCTCATCTTCACTTTCATCATCTTCAATCAGAAGATTTTTATTCTTCCAACCAGCTGGCTTCCTGGAATCAGTCACTCTATGTCCGTGTTCACCACATCTGAAGCATTTAATGCCAGAGTTAGGATTGTCCCACGGATGAGATGCTTGATGTCGAAATGACTGACTACTTTCACTTCTGACCACTAGCTTCCTATTTTGCTGCCTTTCTACAGCAAGTGCACGTTGGTATACTTCAGACACTATCCACAATGAATGAAGGCTTAGAACATCCTGTAAGGGCTGTCTTAATACTCCCACATACCATGCAACCATCTGTTCTTCCATTTTAGATAAATCGTTTCGAGCTACCAATTGATAGAACTCCTCCGTATAATCGTCAACAGATCTAGTACCTTGCCTCAGTAAATGGAGTCGCTAAAATAAAGACTAAGTGTAGCCGAAAGGAAGAAAGTTCCCTTTCATCTTTTTCTTCATCTTCTCCCAATCAATGATCTTAGACTTGCCTTGCCGCTCTCAAGTATGCCTCAATTGTTCTCACCATGCAGAAGCTCTTCTCTTAAGTATGATGGCGACCAATTTTACCTTGACACGATCTGGAACCTCCTTATACTCAAAAATTCGCTCCACTTCATTCAGTTAATCAATAAAACCTTCAGCTTGTAATGTACCAGAGGACTTGGGTAGATCCACTTTGAAGTTGAGGTCTACATGACGATCCTCCCGTCCACGATGCTCCCAAATTCGAGCATGATTATGATACGGGTTTTTGAAATTGGTATCAGAATCGTGACCTTCCACATCATGATTATCGAATTCATGTTCCATTAGATGTTGGGTTAACTATGTAACTTGTCTCTATAAATACTCAATCGGAACCTGTCCTCGACGACCATGACCACGTCCACCAACCATTGCAACTGATGGAAATTCACCCCAGGCAGATGCTGACACTCTGATACCAACTGGTATCAAGCAGAATAGCTATTATCCTGCAAGCTAACTGTAACAGATGATTCACAAGAGAATACGAAAGAAAATGCCTTTGAACACAGAGAAATTCTTTGAAATTAACTTAATTTTATTATCAACACAGAATGGCAAAAATTAACCCACAAGCCGGGTTAAATAGCTGTAAAAATATGAAATTATCGAAAAATTATCAAAAATGGCAAAATCCTAACGATCACACCAAAATAAAATATGAGATAAAAGAAGTAAATTGCCAAAAATTTGGCTCAATCCGAATTCTCTAACGTCTAGAAAAAAAAGAAACGAAATATTACCGTAAATAGTAAAAAATAACTAAAATAAACAGGCATCACGCACTTGGTATGATAAGTTCTATAGCTTTCTAATCAGTAAACCCGAATTGATAGCTTCTAGCTAGTTTAGTTGATAAGATGGTTGCGCTCCAGCTCACTCAAGAATGGGACCCAATCTAGAGAGAGCAAACACTGTCGATTCGGCTTCTTTCATAAGGTGGGCAGGGCTATTCCTTGCTCCGAGTGTACCTTGGGACACGCACTACAAAAGGCTTAGGAAGCGGACATGTCTGATGAGGGGATTTTGTAAATTAAAACGCGTGACACCTACTAAAAATTGAATTTTGGAAAGGAAAATAGTGGATTTTGGGCTTGAAATTGACGTCCACCCAGCATAGGGTGGCCATGACATGCGCGCCGAAGAGAGCTTTCCGGATTGGGGTCATAATAGCGATTCCGATAACTGTAGCCAAAGTTATGGCCAAATTACCAAAAACGCGTCAAAATCTCCCAATTAAGGAAATAATGGTGATTTACTTTCCATCTTTGCGCTG